AGACCAGCCTGAGCAAGAGAGAGACCCCCGTCTCTACTAAAAATAGAAAGAAATTATCTGGACAACTAAAAATATATAGAAAAAATTAGCCGGGCATGGTGGCGCATGCCTGTAGTCCCAGCTACTCGGGAGGCTGAGACAGAAGGATCGCTTGAGCCCAGGAGTGTGAGGTTGCTGTGAGCTAGGCTGACGCCACGGCACTCATTCTAGCCAGGGCAACAGAGTGAGACTCTGTCTCAAAAAAAAAAAATAAAAACCAGTGTAGATTCTCTCTACCTAGGACTATCAGTAGCTACAGAAATAGCCAAACTGAAAGGTTAGTGAGTGTAGCTAACATTGCTCCATGCTGCTTTTTGTCCAACAACTCCAAGGCATCTTCTAAGCATTACATTTCTCTAAAGTCAGAACTGTCCCTGCTTTTCAAGTAGGCAATTTGAGAGCCTGAGTGATAGGCTTACCGAGGTTACAAAGAGTTTAATGGTAAGATATAAATAAAATGTGAAATCTTGCCGGGCATGGTGGCTCATGCCTGTAATCCTAGCACTCTGGGAGGCCAAGGCGGGAGGATCACTTGAGGTCAGGGGTTTGAGACCAGCCTCAGCAAGAGCGAGACCCCCGTCTCTACTAAAAATAGAAAGAAATTAGTTGGGCAACTAAAAATAGAAAAAATTAGCTGGGCGTGGTGGCGCACACCTGTAGTCCCAGCTACTTGGGAGGCTGAAGCAGAAGGATCACTTGAGCCTAGGAGTTTGAGGTTGCTGTGAGCTAGGCTGACGCCACGGCACCCTAGCCTAGGGAACAAAGCAAGATTCTATCTCAAAAAAAAAAAAAAACCGTAAAATCTTGATTCCAACTCCCTTCCACCATCCTTTTGTATATATAAAAATCTTTAAATCTGACCCTTAAGGCTTGATAATAAATGTGGCTTTAATGGATTATCCTAAGTGGTGGATCTGTAGCGTTAAGTGTTGCTCAACCAAATGATAGGCTTTTTGGTCTGCTCATTCAAAAATGATAGGAAATCCCGGAGATCCCAGAAGCCGGGATGCCTGTGGCATTTATACCTTAATATAGCAACTGGTTTCAACATATTTCACTGCCCATATTCATTCTGCCTGGGAAAAAGCTGCTCTTGCTGCCTACTGCTGGATGGCTTTAAAAGGCTGTTCTCTCTCCTTGTAACGTGACTCCATGTGCTGACACCCAGATCTGTTACTAGAGAGTGGAAGTCAGTTCTTCAGAACTCAAGCTACATGTCAATCTTCAATCTCTGGGCCTTCCCCTAAACAAGTGTGATGTGCAGTAATGGCAAAACCCAGAGGTCAACCGAGCAGATGGAATTACACACCAAATGCAAACACTCTGAAGAGGTGCTCCAAGAGAACATATCACTGCCACTTGTTCTACTTTTAGATATCTATCAATATCTCACAAATTGCATTTGATGACTTATACAAACAGACTCATGAACAGAATGTGGGCAGAGTTCCTGTGTACACCTGACCTTATTAGCAGAAACGGCAGAGTGGCTGAGGCTCTGGAGGTGGACTGTTGGGTTCAAGTCCTGATTCAATCCCTTAAATGCTTTGAAATCTTTATGTAAACTCTTTGTTTTCCACCTGTCAAATAAGGACCTTCCTCATAACGATGTGAGGACAAAATGAGATAACACGTATGAAGAGCTTAGAAACCAGGCCTGGAAAACAGCAAGTGTTATTGCTAATACAATATTATAATAATTACAATGACTAATAGATGTTAGCCATTGTTATTATTAAATAACATGTGGGGAAAGAAAAGAGAAACATGCTACATTTGTTCTGTATACTATATTTCTATGTAGCTTTTTGAAGTTTCTCTGATTTGTTTTCCGAGCATGAAATTATGTCTTTTGAAAACGTTTGCTCTATACAGCATTAAGCATATTTAATGATTACTACATAAAAACAACAACAAAAACTCCAAAGTTGATGCTCCTTTGGGAAAAAAGCCTCAAGGCTGCTACATGGTATTTCAGGAAGACCTCAGTCATTCACAGCCTGCACAGGCAACTTTGGAAAAGTTTGCCAGCCAGGATAAACCTCAAAAGGAATCTAAACAAGCATTTACTTCTTTTTTTTTTTTTTTTTTGAGACAGAGTCTCACTGTATTGCCCAGGCTGGAGTGCAGTGGCTATTCACAGGCTCCATCCCACTACTGATCAGACTGATCAGCGCAGGAGTTTTGATCTATTCCGTTTCCGACTTGGGTCTGTTCACTCCTCTTTAAGCAACCTGGTGGTCCACTGCTCCCAGGAGGTCACCATATCAATGCTGAGCTTAGTGCGGACACCCAATTGGTATAGCACACTACAGCCCAGAACTCCTGGGCTCAGGTGATCTTCTTGCCTCAGCCTCCGAGTAGCTGGGACTATAGGCCATGGCGCCTGGTGCATTTATTAATACTTATTTTTAAATCATCTTTATGGCCTGAAAAGGCCAAAATTTTTTAAAATATATAAAAAACTATTATCATCAGAGGAAAGAAAAAAGAAAAAAACTGATGCAAATGTCAAGCCCACATAAGGAGAAAGGGCCACTTTCTAAGCATGAGCTGACTCCTGGTGAGTGAGGAAACATGCTTATCTGGCTCTACCAGAAGTTATTCTGATGAAAAAAAAGAAAGATCTTTCTACTCTAATTGCTAAGATAGTGGTAACACAAGCAAAGAATAGACATTTAGTATTAGTTGTCATAACTTAATTTGAAGCACAAGGGACTTGGTATTTTGAAGAATACTACTAGACTTAAAATTAGAAGAGAGGTCACTCCAGATAGGAAGAAAACAATGAAAACCAACAAAAAAATTTTTTTTCTTTTCTTTTCTTCTTTTTTCTTTAGAGCTAGGGTCTTGCTCTGTTGCCCAGGCTGCAGTGCAGTAGCATGATCATAGCTCACTGCTGCCTTGAACTTCTGGGCTCATGCAATCCTCCTGCCTCAGCCTTCTGAGTAGGTGGGACCACAGGTGCACACCACCACACCCAGCTATTTTAAAATATTTTTTGGAGAGATGGAGTCTTGCCATGTTGACCAGGCTGATCTTGAACTCCTGGCCTCAGGCAATCCTCCCACCTTGGCTTCCCAAAATGCTGGGATTACAGGCATGCGCCACCAAACCTGGCCAAAAAAGTTATTTTTTAATTACAGCTCACAATGGAAGACCATCGCCATATCAATCTTCCTAAAAAAACAATTTCTCAGAGGGGTGCAGTGGCTCATGTCTGTAATCCCAGCACTTTGGGAGGCTGAGGCGGGAGAATAGCTTGAGGCCAGGAGTTCAAGACTAGCCTGGGCAACATAAGTGAGATCCCATTTCTACAAAAAAAAAATAAATAAGTAAAATTAGCCAGGCATGGTGGTATGCGCCTGTAATCCCAGCTACTTGGGAAGCTGAGCCAGGAGGGTTGATTGAGCCCAGGACTCTGAGGTTGGCAGTGAGCTATGATGATGCCACTGAACTATAGCCCAGGCAGTAGAAGGAGACCCTGTATAAATAAATAAATAAATAGCACAATTTCTCCAGGTCAGTCACCTGCCTAAAAATCTTAAGTATTCCCCATAACCTACAGGAGAGAGTCAAAAACCTCTTAAGGTAACAGAGCCCCCACCTACTGTTCCAATCTTGTTTCACCATCAGGCCAAACTCATTTCCTTATTTGTTCCAGGGAGGAACGAAGCATGCTCACTCATTTCAGCTCTGTATCCACAGCTCCAACCACAGGACCTGGCACACAGTAGTTGCTCAGCAAATGTTTGCTGATTCAACGACAACGTGAATGCTTTAGGCCTGTGTTGTCTATGCCTTACTCCTGGAAAGCCCCTCTCCCAACACCCGTCCGACCAGCCATCCTTCAAAGCCCCTCTCAACTCCCTCCACCTCTTCTCAACACAGCACGGAAGCAACCTGCCCTTGCCATTCTCTTCTCCCATTCTCCATTCCCATAGAATTCAATCGCTTTGGATCTTTATTGTTATTTAAATATTTCCTGTTTATATGTTTTGTCTGCCCCATTACACTGGGAATGTCTTGAGGAAGGCAGAATATTTTGAGGCAATGAGAAGCAGTGGAAAGGTTATTGATCTGTGGCCAGGCAAACCCAGTTATGTGACCTTGAGAAAAGTGTACAGAAAACACTCAGAACAGTGCCTGGAACGTGGTATGCACTTCATAAATCCTGGCTACTATCATTATTATCTCTTGGAACCTGAGTTCTCTCTTATCAAATGGGAGTAATAATAAGACCCTGTCAGGTGGGTCTTCATAAGGAGTAGGAATAATGTCTGAAAAGTCTCTAGGACCTTCCTAGCACACAGCCGCCACTCAACAGCTGCCGGACAGCTGTTACTGCAAAGCCTCGTGCTGGGTGCAGGGGAGGTACTTGATTCAGTTTAGGGGATGAGCTGAAGGAACTGAGAGACTATTCTCATATCAACTCAGATATTAAGGGAAACTTCTTCAGTCATTCATTCAACAAATGTTTATTAAGGGCTTACCATTACGTGCCAGGCTTTGTTCTAGGTCTGGGATACCACAGTATAAATGGTCCTTATCCAGTGAAATTTACATTGTAAAGGGGAAGGCAGACAATAACAGAGAAAGAGGCAAATCAGTGAAAGCTTGGTGTTAACTGCCATGAAGAAGAGCAAGGTGAATGCAGGTGGGTGGGGCTGGAAAAGAGCTGTCTGAAGAGGGGCCCTTCAGGTAGAGGCCTGCATCCTCAGGAAAGCTTAGTTTTGTGAGCGTCACCCTCATCCTCACACAGACTCTAGGAGCCCTTCCACAGGTCTCCTATAGAGCAAGGAGACCCAGTACGACCAGAGAGGCTGCGGTCTGGCTCCTAATTCCTCTCTCACGCAGCCCAAGCTACAAACTCTGCTGCACCAGCAACAGCAAACTTATTTTTTGTAAGACTGAATTGGCCACTTAAGCCCCATGTGGAAATAAATTCATTACAGCCATACCGCGACTGGTCTGTTCCCCAGAAAGTTCAGATCACTGTTCTCTCCAAACAGGTAACCTTCCGGATGGGTTGAGTCAAACTTTTCTCCTCCCATAATGAAGTGGCTGGCAAAATAGCTTCCTAGAGAGGGACAAACAGAAAAAATCAGACAAGCAGAAAGCAGTCAAACTTAGCCTAGTAAAAAAGCTGATTTTGAAAAATTCTAACGCTTTCAACAAATAAGTAGAGCAATTTCTAATCCCAGGAGTGTTTTCTCTTCCTGATTTGGGACAATAGCACAAAATAAGCAAAATCATAGCAGGGAGAACCCAAGATACTAAACATAAAACAGATCATTGTTTTCCATTTAACAATCTTAATTGAAACCTTATCATGATCTAAAATACCACCAGCCAAAAGATGCACGTTAATGACTCTATAGTTTTTGTTCTTGACTTTTTTCCTTTAACTTGAAGTAGTTATTCCATGTATTTGAGAATCTTAACTACAGGTATCAGCACGTGTACACACTGTGATATGAAATATATATTTAGTCTTTGCCCCCATTTCTTGGCATACAACTCTTAACATCCCTGGAATCTCCAAAGTGATGTCTTTATGTATACTAAAGAGCTCACTGATGGCTGGCAGCCTCTAGGTAGCTTTCGGATGCAGCCTGGTCACCAAAAATGGCAGGATTAGAGAGTTAGGACTTTCATTCCACCCCTCAACCTCTGGGGAGGCGAGAGTGGTTAAAGATTAAGTTGATCACCAGTGGCTAATGATTTAGTCAATCATTCCTGCTACGTAATGAAGCTTCCATAAATGACCTCCATAGTGAAGCTTCCGTAAATGGAGGTTCCTGGAAGTTGAAGAGCCTGGAGAAGGCATGAAAGCTCTGAGCCCCTTCCCACCGTAGCCTCACCCTATGCATTTTTAAAATCTGTATCCTTTGTAATATCCTTTATAATAAACCAACAAGCCTAAATGTTTCCCTAGTTCTTTAAGCCACTCTAGTAAGATAACCGAACCCAAGGAGGGGGTCATGGGAACCCCAATTATAGCTGGTTGGTCAGAAGCACAGGCAAAACAACCTGGGGCTTGCAATGTGCATTGGACGTGGGGGGCGGTCTTGGGGACCAAGCCCTTGTGGGAGACGCTATCTCCAGGTAGATGGTGTCAGAATTGAATTGAATTAGAGGACGCCCAGCTGGGAGCCACTCCAGAATTAACTGATTATTTGCTGGTGAGAAGAAATCCCCACACATTTTTATGGCTAGAGATCACAGAAGTCTTCTGTGTTGATTGTGTTGTGAGAGTACAGAAGAAACTGAGTTTTCCTATATCCTCAGACACACACATACATTTCTTTGCCTAGATTGTCATAAGCCAGCTTATACCTACACACAGAAGTCTCAGTACCCACCTACTACTACTTCTATACCTCTATAATCCTCCATGATGAAGGTTCTTCACTTGAATGTGCTATAAAACATAAGACTGTTTCATAGGAAAAAATGAATTTACACAGTACAGCTTTTCCTGGCTTTACCTACCAGTAACCATATAGACAATGGTGTTCAGTAAGGGGACAGTATAGTGCTATGAAAAGAGGCTACACACACAACCCCTCAGCCTCAAATTCATCAACAGTGCTAATGGCCAGGGTTGCTGGCATATCAGTCATGGCAGGTCCTCTCTGGCCCACCTTAATTAGCCAGGAGGCAGGGACATTTGCCCTATAGTATAGTACCCAGATGAAATCAGCAGTCAGGGGTCAGAATTCTCATCAGCCTTATCCAGACAAACCAAGGAACTGTGCCAGGATGTGATGTCACTGAGAAGTCACCAAGGGAGGCTTAGGTAACACTGAAAATTCCACGTGGGAATACGTTTGTGTATCTGTGTATGTGTGTGTTTAGAGATGGGGTCTCACTCCGTTGCCCAGCCTAGAGTGCAGTGGCGTGATGAAGCTCACTGCAGCCTCCAACTCCATGGGATCAAGTGATCCTTCTGCCTTAGCCTCCCAAAGTGCTGGGATTATAGGCATGAGCTACCGTGACTGGCCACATTTTAACTTTAATGATTAAATGAATGCCTCTTACCCTAAATTTTTATAATCTAATTCTCCCATGAAGGTACACTGTCCAAAGTAAAGGACACATACCATAATATACCTTTATCAATGCTCTCATATACCCCAATTCTCAAATTCATACAAAGAATTTATGAAATGGCAGAAGGCTTGTCCACATGTCACACAGCTAGGAAATACATAAACTCCCTAAGTTACTTATAATTTGCATTGAAGATTTACAGCAAACTAAAAACATGAGATTTAACACTTTGAGCCTGTGGAGATGCCATGGGAAGGAAGACAGAGAAGAAAATTCTAACAAAAGCTGAACCAAACGTTCATTTTTAAAAATTTTCTACACATGAAGCTTTAGACTAGAAACACCCATTAAACAAAACAATGTGGATAAAATTGCTCACCACAGAGTGAGGTAATTCTTGAATTAAATAACAAGCAGGAAAACATTATTTGGCTGCTATTAATAGCAGCCAAAATCAAAGCAATCACTGAGGAATTCTTCAAAGTTACCTATCAAAACTTAAAAACAGGCCGGGCGCGGTGGCTCACGCCTGTAATCCTACCTCTCTGTGAGGCCGAGGCAGGCGGATTGTTTGAGCTCAGGAGTTCAAGACCAGCCTGAGCGAGAGCGAGACCCCGCCTCTACTAAAATAAGAAAGAAATTAATCAGACAGCTAAAAATATATAGAAAAAATTAGCCGGGCATGGTGGCGCATGCCTGCAGTCCCAGCTACTCGGGAGGCTGGGGCAGTAGGATCACTTGAGCCCAGGAGTTTGAGGTTGCTGTGAGCTAGGCTGACGCCACGGCACTCACTCTAGCCAGGGCAAC